AATTAACCGGGTTGTCCTTGTTGCCCTTTTTATAGATTGGTATGATTATTGTGAGTGACCCTTTTTTGGAGTGCGACCAGTTTGATTGATAAATGTAAATAAGGTTGTGAGTAGATGTGTCCACCAGTTTGAATTCATTTTAATAGTCTTGGGTAGGACATAGTCAACAACTGGGCCCTTACCTGCCTTCAAGGAGTCAGTTGAGTTACCTCTGACACTGAGACTAGAGGCCAACTGTATACTTGGTCAAGTTCAATGTCGCTATCATTTACAATGTAGGATCAGCATACAAAACTCTATAATGCTCCTCCCATGCTTGGACTAGTCCCTGATTAACTGGTAAGGCTGGAGATTTGCTCAGCTTATTGGCTAAAATGTTCCAGAAAAGGAAAAAGTCCCCTTTCCTTAATTGCAGGAATTAATTTCTATTATTTCTCCTTGATGGCCAAACCTTCCTTTCTTTAAGAGGGACTTACATTGTATTTTCAAGTTCCATAAAGACTGAAGGTGGGCCTTTGAGGGGTATTGTTGCACACTTTGTATGCAAATCTGTATTTCTTATTAATCTGCACATCTTTATGATCAAACCACTTTTGATTTTTTATGCCTTAATTATAATATAGCTGTCGAGGAACAGCATTCAGGAAAAACTTTAGCGGTTCTCTGATTCCATCTCATTCGTACCACCATGTTCTTTCATTTTACAGTATATTTTTTTTCTGTCCCTAAGTTTTGTATAATTTATACATAGAAAAAAGGAGGAGCTTAATGTTCCCCTTAATACTCAGATGAGAATATTGGGAGTAGGTCTTTATGCCTTTGAGACACTAGAGAAAATACGTCTCTAATATTGTTACACACTTTTTTGTTAAATAAATTTGCATCTTTGTTGATTTTTCCATAGAATTGGCTATGGAAACATTTTAAAATTCGTTAGAGCAGATTAATATACTACTGTGCTTGCACCAAGGGAAAGAAAATCAATTTGCTTTTGTCTTTTTGTTGTTTGATTAGTTCCAAAATATAACAATATATTAAAATGGAAGAAATCAAAGTGGCCATTTGTTTATAGCTCTGTAAGAGAGCATTGGAACATTTTAATAGAATATAAAATCATTTAGCTTATAAATGGATCTGCAATAAAATCGTTTTATTTGTTTGTTTCAGAATCATTTTAGCCACATTTTACAGCTGTAGCTTTCAGATTTCTTAGCACTTAGCTACTTATCCACCACCTTCAAATGGCGTGTTTTACAAGCTGCGTAAAACAGTAATTTCAAATAAGGTATTTAAAATGTTATATTTTATACCAAAATTGTTTAATGCATGAAATAATAACAGTAAATAGTAAATACATCAGAAGCTTTCATTGTACTTTTAAGCTGCTAAGTTTAATTGGTGGGGGTGGAGGGACAAACCTACATACCATAAATGCTTTTGCCTATATTATTTTACAAAAAATACAGTTCACAAGAGCAGGTTCTTGACCATACCCTTAGTGTAGATTCATATGCTGAGGCCTTTTGGGGAGCTGTTCCCCAGCTTCTTCCCCCTTATTGTTCTTGACTTCCCTTGCCCACTAATTAACCACTACTAATTAAATGCATTGATGAGGAAGATCCACTTGATTTTGTTTGTAAATATCTGTGAGAGTGAAGTGGGGAAAAGGTGTGCTGAAATATAGATGCAGTATAAATATTTTTACATTTAGTGCAGAAAGTCATTGAACTGTTTAGGGACAGGAAAATGAACTAGTAATTACATTGTTTCAGTTCATGTCAAATATAGTATCCACTTCTTACCAATTTCAATTTTTCATTAATGAGGTTGTTCTTGTATGAATTACACTAAGAGCTAAAATACATATTATAACCAGCTCTATTATTTTATTATACTTTTTTTTAATAATGAAGAATGGGTAACTGATTATAGTGATTTTAATTGATGAGAATTATAGGCAAAAATATCTAGAAGGAGTCAGGATGGGGAATGCTATTTAGACAGTGAATTAAAAGAGGAGTGCCTGACTGATACTTATTTCGGTGTTTAAGCCAGACAGTTAAACTGTCTTCATGTGAATGTGAATGGCTCTCCTCGTTTCTTCTCTCTTCCTTTTTCTTTCATTTTGTCAGTTTTTCTTTTTCTTCTTTTCCCTTAGACAAAGTTGATAACTAATGGAGAAACGTATTATGTCATGTCTTTCATAACTTAACAATCTGGAATTTTCCAGCTTTTGAGTGGAGTTTTTTAAAAAAACTGAATTTTAATTTCTTTGGTTAAACAAATAAGAAACTGCCATGGTATTTGTTATTCTTTTTACATATATTTTAACATTTTAGCAGATTTCACAGGAAAAAAAAATAGCCAAACCCACCCCCACTTTGACTTTTATTCCTCTAAATAGGCCATTGCACATATCTTATTGATTCACTAAAGATATGCAGTCTATGTATGGAATTTCTCCAGGAAATGTGAAATTAGTCACAACTATGAACAGTAGCCAGGACTTTCTAGTTTTTTCTAACCATTTTTAAAGGATTTTGTTTAATATTAAAGATTATCTTAATTTTTTAAGCAGCTAAATAATTAAAATTGCATAAAACTGCATTATCTGTGTTTGGTGTTTTCCTGCCAAATTTCAGCACCCACAGCTGGGACAGCTTTGGGGACTACAAAAAATCAGGTTTGGGGGATAGATTGTGGCTTATAAGAGTATAACTTGCCAATTTCAATCCTAGGTGGAACTTGTTTCTGGATATTTTTAATTTTTTTTTTTTTTTTGCCAACCCCTGTAAAGTTACAACTATCACAAAATTACCTGTCTTCACTGCTCATAACACATATTTATTTTCTCACTGTATCTTTCATATTTATTATTTTAATTTTGGTAAATAGATTTTATAAGTAAAACTTTTGTAACTGGAACCCGAGAAAACTTGTTTCCTTGTAAGATAGCTGTGTGCACTTGTGTAATTTCACATGTATAATTTTTTTGTTTGAAAATAAAGGAGGGAGGAAAAAGTTGCATGTCTTCATTAAATATTTATTATTGATATTCTATACTCTTTATACAGAGCAAGATTATTTGGTGAGATGAACTCCAAAAATATTAAAACATGAAAATTCCATTTACACTCAGTACACTGGAGTAACATAGTAGAAACCTCTGCGGGTATTTAATATTTCAGAATAAAGGATTTTGTTTAATTTTTAAACATGTATTTCATTTTATGTTTTATTTAAATTGTTTTAACATTTGCCTAGAAGCCCCTGAAGGATTAAAACTTTTGAAATTTAGGTTAGATTAAAAATAGACATGAAGAATGCTGCATAAAAAAGAATAGCAGAAAAAGGGGGTGGGGCGTATCAGAGTATACCACAGAATGAAAAGAGCCCTGATTACAAAGCATTACTTGCAAAAATAATCAAGCTGTACAGTCCTAAGGAAACTTGATAGAATCAGGGTGATAATTAATAACAATATGTAGGTCTTCCATGTTGTACTAATTTAAAGGAATAAAAAAGAAGCTAGAGGTTTTGAACCACAAAAATGAGACAACAGTTTCCAGATGTTAATGAAACAAAAAATATATATAGTTTGCAAAAACTGAATATTAGACAAGAGTAAGAAGAGATGATAGAGACCTTTGGAATGCTGGAGGGCATGCAAAATCACTGGCATTAATACTGTGTTTTTTGAAGGTGCTAATATGAAAGACTAAAGTAAGAAACTGAACAACTGAAGACATTGAAGCTGAGGGGGGCAGGATGGAGATTGCAATTAAAACATTAATGTTAATAGTTAAAGATTGTTATTTTTTTTTTCCTCCAGGAACTTGTTCACAATCCACTGAAATTGGTTTGTAGCATTAATAGTTTTTCCAACTCTTTTTTCCTCTAGAGAATAGACTTAGGCAAATTTTAGAAGGGGCTAATATTTGTAAAGTGCCAGGAGTCACTTGCTGCTGACAGTGCATACATTTTCAAAAAATAAACATTCTCAAACATTCTACTTGAAACTTTCATTATATAAATCTTAGCTAATGAATTTTTTTGTTTTTGTTTTGTGGTAAATGGGTGGGGGAATGGTAATGGATCTCCTTACAGATCTGCTTGATTATTTCTCCTTAGAGTTTCTTCTGTCTCTCCTGCTTTAAAATATATTATGGTGCTCCATTGATTTGCAAACTTTAATTACTCTTTTTTAGGTTTGTTTAATGTTAAATTGAATAATTGATTGATTATATCTTCATTAATGTGCATATGATGAAATACTGATTTTGAAAAGAAAAAAGCATGCTTGTTTCCCAATGATGCATGTTTGTGACATATCAACCACTTTATTCTAAAAGATGCAGTCCTTTCATTGTGATAGAGATAGAATATGGAATGCCACCTCAATATTTGATACCTGGGTATAAATTTTAAAGTATCTTATTATGAAGGGTTATCTTTTTAATCAGATAAAATATTTTAGTTGATTCATTTCAGTAATTAACTAAATCACATAAGTAAGTCCATTTATGATAATTTGGCTATTGTTTTTGACAAGTATAATGCAAGGACAAATGTCCTTGATATACAGTACTTTGCAAAATCACAACTAACTGAATGTAGGATCAGGACATGAGCTAAATAATAGCAGTCAAGCAAGTATTATGCATAGTGACAGATGCAAGATTATTATTCAAGGCAAAGTTATAATCCAGAAAAGAGGGTGTATATGAGAATGTAATAGTGGGTTTCTTTTGCATATACAAGGTTGAAATATAGTTGGACAGAAGATGAAAATTAGCAAAAATGGGTTATTTTGGAAGATTGGAGTGGACAAACACTTATCAGGATCTATGAAGCATTAGCAGGATATGTAGACTAAGCTCAGTACATTTCTTTTTAGATTAGAACTCCACTTTGAATATGGTCTAGCTAAACAAATCCTGTGCTTACCTCCTAGCCATCTTACTTACAAAATGAAAGTCTATGCTGTCATTTCTTCACAGCAGACTGTATTCAAAGAATGAGACAAACACCTCCCCTTGATGAATTGCAGCCTCCACCATACCAGGATGATAGTGGCTCTCCGCATCTCTCCCGTACGCCTTCTGAAGTTGGTGAGAGCAAATGTGAATTCTCTCAGTGCAGCAACAGTCCAAGATGTTCTTATAAATGCCCAAGTGAAGGAAGTAATGGGCATGAAATAGAAAGTTTCCATAACAAAGGATATGAAGAAGATGTACCTAGTGATAGTACTGCTGTCCTTAGCCCAGAGGTAAACAGTCTTCCGCAAACTGTTTAGCATAAAATGAAGCAAGTTCTCTGAGTTTTGCAGCTCAGTTGGACTTCTGTTGTGTATTGACAGGTATCTATTGGTCTACATATGTGCTTTCTGAGAAACAATAATAATAAAAAAACCTTTTTAAACACTTTCTCTCAGGTTAATTGATAACAGAGATGTCAAAACTCTTGGTGTTTACAGAAGGAAGGCCAGTGTAAGAGCACTGTTTTACTATGTTGTAGTGCATAGTAAAGTCTTGGGGTCTTCACATTAAAGTTCTACGGTGTAAGTCCTGTAAGAATATACTGTAGGATAAGTAGAGCTCCTGAGCTAATAGTTATATTTCCCTACTTTGAGGCATACTATGCTCCCCAACTGCACACAACTCTTGACCTCTGTTAATAATGCATTTTCCTCCCATTTTGAAGTAGGAAACACATGAAAGCTCTAATTGTATGCCAGATTATATACTTACCACAGTTCACAACAAAAAGAATATAACAGAGACTTGTTGGCTATATGTTATTTTGACTCTGGCCCTCTCCACAAGTGTTAACTGTTGCCTCTGACCATCAGAAGGTTGCTACTTCTGTCCTCTTGCATTATATGCAATCAAGTAGGGACGCTGCACCTAGCTGATTTCAGCTATTCTCAAAAAGCTAAGCAGGGTCTAACTTGGTTAGTGCTTGGATAGGAGAGACCTGAAAATCCAGGGTTGTAGACTAGACTGGAAGTCGTAAAACATCCTGTGAGAAGGCAGTGGCAAACTGCTTCCCTATTGTTGCCAAAAAACCTATGTAGACATGCCCATGAAATCACCAGAACTCAAGCTCAACTAGAAGAAACGTTACCTTTTTACTTTTACATAACAAACTGAGATTTGAAGTTCAGCCTTAGAGGAGCAGACAAAATTATGATATCTGCATCTACCTCTTGAACTCCATGATACTTCATTTAAAATTAGGCCCATTTTCCTTCCCTTCCTCTAAATGCATACTTTGTAAAAGAGAATCAAGGAATTAAGGAAAGATGGACGAGTTGTTGATTGTATAACTATCCAGAGGCATTTGTAGGACCCAGCATTTGTATCAAATGGCATCATTACATTATGCAAACTCTGTCACTTTTGTTTATGCATGCAAAATAATGATTTAAAACCCTCCTACCTGCTACATCAGGCACCTAATTCAGATTACCACCACCTGCTGTTTACATTTTAAAAGCTATTCACACAAAAGTTATACTGTGAATGTCATCTAATTTTGCTTTTAGTTCTGTAATTTTTTGTAGTCCTTGCTTCTGTATAATAACCAATTTGGCCAAAAGTTTGTCATGCAATTTTGTTTTATATTTACATTTATTATAGTTGTTATTACATTCAGTACAATTTTGTTTAAAATGGTGTGTCTTTATTGTTTTTTATTGCGTTTTAATGAAAAGCTACAATACGGCACAACTACTGCAACTATATGAAACATTGATAATTGTGTGGCTCCATGAAACAAAAATCCATCATCCATAGTGTCATTCAGAATCAGAATACATTTATTGTTGTAACCATAGATTATAAAACATAATAATCACTAGGGCTGCACAGAGCTTTGAAGGGGTGTTTTGCATCAATGAATGTTCATACAAAAAAAAAAAAGTTTTGAAACTGCTTTGCGAATCAACTCCCCCAACAACATGCATATGCTTCTAATAGTGAAACAGCTGCATCAAGGTGTCATTCAGCAGCTTTAGCTAGAAGAGGCTTCCTGTTTTCCAGCGACTAGAACTGTCAGATAAGGCTTTATGGCAACACAAAGTACATATATATTCCACAACATAAGGCATCTTGCTGAGTCAAATCCTTGTCTACATGTAGTTTAAAATATGTTTTTCACAATTCTATTAGACAGTATGCAGAGTATTTCACGTCTCAAATCATTTATGCATCTCTTTAGTTTAAGGCACTTCTCCTCTAAATCTTCAAATTCTCCCCTCTGTTATAAGATCCAATAAGACTTTGGATATTCTCTTCCACATATCCCATTTTAGCTCTTTTTGCAATCTATAAAAGCATATTCTTGTTGCTGTACATATGTCCTTAATAGAATATTTGATTGCTCTGTGTGTGAAATGAACAAAAACTTCCTATAATGCAAGCGAAGACATTATTTTCAATTTATTCTTTGTAATAAAAGCATACACATACATAAATTACTTTTATTCATATATATCAGTAGCAATATAGATATTTGAACAGATGTACATAAATGTAAATCCACTTTTTTCTATCTTATTTAGGATCTGTCAGTCCAAGGATCATCATCACAGCTCCCTAAAACTTTTGATCCAGAACCAGAAGCTAAATATGGCACCTTGGATGTGACTTTCGACTATGACTCACAGGAACAGAGGCTTCTGATAACAGTGACAGCTGTCACAGACATTCCAAATTATAGCAGGACAAGTGGAAGTCTGTGGCAAGTACACCTGGTTCTCCTTCCTATCAAGAAACAGAGGGCAAAAACTAGCATCCAGCGTGGTCCTTGCCCTGTCTTCACTGAGACATTCAAATTTAATCATATTGAATCTGAGATGATTGGGAATTATGCAGTACGCTTTAGACTATACAGTATACGTCGTGTAAAAAGAGAAAGGATTCTAGGAGAAAAGATATTTTACTTAACCAAATTAAATCTTCAAGGAAAGATATCAGTACCGGTGACACTAGAACCAGCATACAACATTTCTGTAAGTATTAAATCAAATAGAATAAATGTGCAATCATGTAAATGATCCTGAATAGAGGACTTACTTGTGCCACTAGCAAGAGAAATATTGAGGCTAAGTGTTGCTGTAGGGTAGTTGTTAGAACAAGGAAAGGTATCCTAAAGACCACTCTTCATTATCCACTGGTCATGCTGGCTGGATGCCATGAGAGTTCAGTAATCTCTGAAAAGTCGCAGTTTCATTTCAAGTTAAAGTCAAGGTATTGGTTTTGATCTGCAAGCCCTTAAAAGTTTTGAGACCCAAGTATATGACAAGATGCCTCTCTCTTTCCTAACTAGCTTGGATCATCCAACTACTGTGGGAGGCACATTGATAGAATTTACTCCTAGTGGTGTTCCAATAATGAGAAGTGCTTTCTTGCAAGAAGTGCAATGTTTGCTTGCTAGAAGTATGCCTCATGCTAATCTTATGGATGTTGGGATGCCTGGCTAAAATGTATTTGTTTATTCAGACATTTTAAAGCAATTTGTTGCTTCTGTAATGCATGTGATCAAATCTTTTGTTTCTGCTGATTGGTTTTTTCTGCTGATTAGTTTTGGTTTTTTTCCAATATTTTGTTGTTACTTGTTTGAATACTGCTGTTACCTCCTCATGTATCTAGATAATAAGGTGTTATGTACAGTTTTATTTTGATAGCTATGCAAGAAGCTTTTTTATTTTTCAGTGGGGGGAGAGGATCGTTAAAAAAGAGTTAATTTTTCTAAGTAAGTATAGGTAAGTTGTCCTGACACCATAACTAGTCTTAGAAGTCTCAGTATAAATAAGAAATTATTTATATACATCAAATAAAGATATCTGATGTTGTGTCTCTGTCCCATATGTTGACCTTTTTTATACATATTTTGAATGAAATATGTATTTTTTTTCCCTGAAAGAAGAGGTGGGATTGCTTGCTGCTCTAGAAAGATCCATATACAGTATGCTCTGTGTATGCATAAGCACCCAGTTGCCTGAACAGATGACAGTTTGAAGAATAGGAGTAAGCTTTATTTATAGTACACAAACCTTTAATATGAGTTACTTAGGACAGAAGAGGGACTAAGAAAAGGCATTTTACTGACTGAAGCAAAGAGAAAGGTTTTCCTTTTTTTTAAAAAAAAAAACACCTCTATATACAAGTCCTCTGGCATCCTAATAAATGAATTTTAGAACAGCCACACCTAAAGGAAGCAAAGTATCTTAGTGGTTGTGCCACTGCTCCCAGGCTGCAAGATTCTCAGATTCTGCTGCAAGAGCTATTAGGCAAGCAGGACCATTTGTCCTGCTTCAGAAGACAACATCACTGTGCAGGAATTTTTGATGTATGTGAAATAACATTCCTTTTTTCTTTGACATTACTATTGTGAATATTTGATTACAGAATTGATTCACTTTGGCTTCACATCATATTTTAATGAGAGAAGCATGGCCATTCAAAGGAAATGGAATGCAGTCTGTACTTAAAAAGTTACTTGTTCGTCCTTTTGTTACTTAACTAATTCTGGCCTGAGTTTCATGATTTTCAGTACAATTTCTGTCTCTTTTTCTCTCTAAATTAGTTGTCATAAAGACTACAGAAAATCCAGTCTGTGTCCAACTTATATTTTTAATTTAATTTGATCACTAAAAGCATTGAGGCAAATAATTCTAGAGACTTGTAGTGTTATTCTGTATGTAATTGTTCAGAAGCGTCACTGAGATCAGTAGGACTTTTCTCTACAGACTCAAGACAGCATTCACAAAATTGGAGTATTCTGTGCTCCAATTTTATCCCCATAACAAAATTCTCTGTGGTAGATTGGGCTAAGATAGGTAACTGACCTGAAGTTACTCAATGAGCCTATTTGACAGAATACGTACTTAAAGCTGGGTTTATTTGGTCCTTATCCAACACCCTAACCGCTGTACCACACTGTAGGAGGAGATCCATGTTAGTCTATGGTAACAAAAATCAGAAGGAGTTTGATAACATTTCTAATAAAATATGTTAGTCTGAAAAGCTGCTACTAGACTCCTTTACGCTGACTCGAATTCAAAGCTAATTCATATACTTTCTAATTAAGCTCCAGTCTCCCCCATTCTCTATATGAACTGTAGACTTTGATTTTTAACAAGAAGTTCTCATTATGATTTTGGGGTAGGGGGAGGGAGGGACTGTAGATTGCTACTTTGAAATACTTGTCATCATAGTGCAGTGCTTTTTACACTACAGTTAGGAAATTAGCATTGGCTCCTGATATAATAAATAGTCTACATTTAACTTAGTGACATTGAGAACTATTGCCGTAATAGTCTATTGCTGTTACAACTTGAAAAATGTTAAGTTATATACAATAATTTCTCATACATTTCTATATAATTTAGTCAGCTTAAAATGACAGTAGTTTACCTCAAGACTGTGTAATGAATAGTAACGTAAGTAAGTCACATATCAGAACAGTTTCTGTCGTTTCTGTTACAGTTTTAAAAAGTCTCCAAGCTGCATTAAGTCTTCAACCTTCTGAATAAGAAAGATACAGTTCAATCTGTATTTTCTGACTGTAGTAATGTCATAAAATGTAAAAAGATTTCTGCTGGAAGCATTCTTCAAGCCACTTAAATGTTTTGTGTAGTATGTAAGAGCAACATTCAGACACCTCTCTTTAATAGAGGCTCATCATTCTACCTATACCAATACCTGAGAGAACAAGAGCACACTATGAGATTTTTGATTGACATGTCTGAGATCACTGTCATCTGTGAGGTTGCTTAAGGAAATCTTAAAAGAGCAATAACTAAAGCCTCAGCTCAAGATATGCATATAGTTTTATGTTGGGTCTGGTTGTTAATTTCTGCAAATGGCAGTCTTGAATTTACAGAAAGTTTCTGATTCAGAGGATGATTCTCGCTGAGAGAATGGAAATAAGCACGGCTTGTATCAGTTCTCCCCTTCTCCTTCATCCCCACATGCCTCTCCAATGTACTTTAGAGAATTGGATGACCGAATAGAATAATGTGGGGGATGGGGAACAGAAATTGCCTTCTATTCCTTTCTACCATTGAGAACATTTTCAGGAAAAGTTCATTCAAGGATTGCTATGACAAGCAGAAACAAATTTTGGCTCAAACCCAATATATTTATTGGCCACTACTGCAAGAGTAGTCATAAGATGTACAACACAGAATATGTATTACTAGGCAGAATGTTTGAGCCACCTGAAATAATGTTATATGGCTTGTCTGAATAAGTGAAAAACTATAGCTCAAATCAAGAGCTACTAATAATCTGGAGACAGCAAGAAAAGAAATTGTTAGTAATGGTGGGAAAGGCACAAAAGAAGGAAAATACTTTTTTTTAAGGAGGAAACCAGTTAAGTTTTAAACTTCCTAAGCTTCTGTTAGATTTTTAAAAATTTATTATTTCTACATAATTTTTTTTCTTCATATATTTACAGTTGAGAGCCAGTGTGGTATAGTGGTTAAGGTCCTGAACTAAGAGTGGGAAGATCCAAGTTCTAGTCCTCCCTTAGTTGCCAGCTGAGTGACTTTGAGCCAGTCATTTTCTTTCAACCCTAAACTGGGAAGTCAAAAATTTGCTGTCTACCAACCTGTTCTGGACCAGTACAGTTCATAATCTTCAGTAAGAGCACTTCATCCTGCAGTGGATTAACGTGGGGGGATGATGATGATAATAATAGCATTCAGTGTCCTGTATAGTGTGGTAACATGGTAGAAATCTTTCATATAATATGAATTGTCTTTTTAATTATGAACTCACATGATTGCTTGAGTCACAGTGGTTTCAACTAATATCATTAATTAAATGGTTAATTAAATAAGCCATTAATAATAAATTTCTTCATTATTAAAAACTCTTCTGTTCTGTGTTTACTTTGAAGACATAAAGCTGTCCAATACTGTGATCATCTAGTACAGCTTAATTTTGTGGACAGCCAGCTCTCTTAGATTTCAGGTTTTTTCTAGCCTACTGAGAGTGGAAAATGAAGGAAGGTATTGTTATTGTTTATGAGTTAGTCCTCATTTAAATTTCTTCACTAGAATGTTTAGCTTTGAATTATCTGGTCTCATTTCTTAAGTGGGATAATTTGTTTGCAAATCTCAATTGTTCCATTGTTTTTTAATTTAAAAATTTATGCAGAACAGTGTCCTTCAGTGGCAGAACACTCTTTGATCAAGTTTAAGCATCTGTCAACTGGATGGCTAGAAGTTATTCCCAGTCATTAAAGATGGAGCTGACAGAAAAGGGTTAATTCCACTTCTTCCAGTCAGAAGGCAGGGCTAAGACTTCTGCATCCTATGGAGGAAGCCCTTTCAACTCAGTCTTAGCTCTGCCATCTAGAAAAGAAGGGCTTTTCTTTCTTCTCAGCTTCATTTGGTCCCAAAGGCATCCATCTGATGAAGAATTGGGATATAAGGAAACAATTTAGCAATGGCAAGGGAGTAGAGTTTGATCTCTAAGTCACGGGAAATGACCTCAGCAGCCTTTAAAGGAGACTGATATTTTTCCTTTCTCCCTCTTTGTTCCCCAACCCTGCCCGTTTTGTTGCTCTGGGCAGGGATCCATTTTCCACTAGAGACCCTACACAAGATTGCAGTATTCATTTAGACAGTAGAAAATCGATGAGGAGAGCCTTTTCAATAGCAACAAAATTAGGGAAGCTGTCCAGTGGGCTACAGGCCCAAATAATACTAATTGTGGTGGCCTGTTCAGTAGACTCACGAGCCCATTCGCAGGAGTTGAGTGATAGTCTGCCCAGTCTCTGAACTCTGTCACTCAAAAGAGAGATCTATCTATCTATGGATATCTGAACACATACAGTATGCTGAATATTTCTGTTTAGAGAACTCACTTCTCTCTGACCCTCCTTTGGGAGGAGTAAGGACCAACATTAAACACTTTATATGGACTACTCAAATATTTCTGTACATGCAGTGTTCTGTGACAAAAATACATCTGTTGAATCAAATGAAACTGGGAGCTG